AAGCTGTGGATAATCTGAGGCTGGGTGGTGTAAATGGAACAGAGACAGAACCCACAACAGGAGCCTTTCCAGCTGATTAAGGAACAATCCACTCTTAAACATCCTCAATCCCACTGGTTTGGTTTTATTTAACACAACAAAGAAACTGCTGCAGAGAGAAGGAAATTAATTCAGACTCTGATGCAGAAGCAGAAAAACCTTCAGTTTGTTGGTAGAAGAGCTGAAATCTTAATTATTTGCATCCACCAGGCAGCAAAAAGAAGAGGAGGCAGTTTAAACAACTACAGAAGTAGATGAGCAGTCAGAATCCTATAGGGAAGTCCAGATTAGGGTTTTGGTAAAGAAAATCCAATGGATCATTTGATACCACTAGGTAAAAATACCATCTCTGTTTAGAAGAAAGATTGGATTGAAACTTTCAGTTGATCTTCAACAAGATGATAAATAAATCAAATAAACAAAAAAAAAACTTCCTTATTAATTGCTACATAATATATTGAGAATCTATTTAACAAGTTTCTAATAAAAAGCAAGTTTTTTAAAATGTGAATCATATGTTGATGTAGTATGTTTGATCATCACATTTATAGATAACGATTATTCTCAGACAGCTGACAGTCTTTAAGCAGCGGACGTCCCGGCAGATTCAGCCCAACGTCAGAGTATGAAGCTCAGAGAAGTTGTAGATCATATCAAGAGAGAGAGAGAGAAAGCTCCTCCACAGACTCTACAGGCCTCAGGGAGCGGGCTCTGAAAGCTGCTCTGAAAGCTGCTCTGAAAGAACAATAAATTTGTTCTTGTTCAGGAGTTGTCAAGAAGAAAATAGTAAATTTTGCCTCCAAGTATTCATTCTTCGCAGGATGCTCAGCTGCCAAACTCATGGAAAGCTCCATCCCCATTATCATTCTGATATTTTTGTCAGCTCTGTGTTTGAGTGACCTGTAGTGCTAAACATTTATGTGGTCTTGATATGAGTGAGTAGACGGGGCATTTACATTTAAAAAGGTTGTAAATATCATTAAAGAACATTTGAGTACGCCTTAATCATATGAAGCATAATTTTTAGTGAGAATGCTGAGAGGCTATTTATTTTAAAACCACTCTCCCCATTGGCTAGTGAGCAAAAAGTTTCACATCAAGTCCAGTTTATGTCACACACCCGAATGAAAACACAACAAACAGCAGAGGAGCCATTTGACAAATTAATAGGAAGGAGAAGGAGGAAAGCAAACTGATTTATATCACTTATAAATTGTATCTACAAATGTACAGATCATAGACTTTGCCAGCTGATCTTCAAACTTTTTAACAGATCAATGGACAGATTTACGTACCTAAAATAGAGGATTTCTGACTCAAAAACAATAGAGGGATTTCCTCTAAGTCTTCCCCTATTCAAATCCTGACCAATTGAACAGCTGATCTCAGATACACTGTGATAAAGAAGTTCTGCTGTGGCATTGTGTTGAGAACAGATATGAGAGCAAAAAAAACTTTTCTCTTTGACTACTCCTAAAGGTATTTTATTTTCTAAATGATGATCAAGTATATCTAACTGGATTATGTAATCAGCCTGAAGTTCATGTCAGAACAATAAAAAACTCTAGAGAAGTTTAGCTGAGTTATTATGTTGAGTGGAGGAACCAGAGGTTTTAAGCAAGTCAGAGTTAGAATACTTAAAAAGATTGTTACTTAATTAAAAGTAAAGTAAAAGTATAATATTCCAAAAAGTACCTGCGGTAAATATAACTAGTTACTATGGACCCCTGTCAACAGAACAATGATCCAGATTGCAGCAGCAGATCTGGAACCGGCTGGCTGAAAAATCTACGGTGCTAAATTGGCCTAGTCAAAGTCCAGCGCCCAGCCTTACTAAAAGGCTTAACCAAGTTCTATTTTTTGATGTCATGTTGATGCGGATCAGAACCAAAGATTCTAGCATCAGTTTATTCTGCTAGCGTGCTGGAAAAACAGTTCCAAACATGTTGAGGGCAGGAGGGTGGAAGGACTTCCACAGATGGAGAAGATGAAACAGTGATGCAGCTGGTGATCCAGACCTCCTCACATCCATCACTGAGCTGACAGAGTCAGAGAGGAAGCAGCCATGTCAGCACGACTTGCAGTAAAACATCCATCCAGAGTTAACTCGCCCAGGGAAATAAGCAGGTGACAGAAGGGGAGGTTAAAAGTCACTGCCAGGAGACTCTAGCATCAGTGTCAGGCTGCAGGAAAAGGCTGTATGAAGGAGACTAAGCTGGGAACACTGCGCTGGAATCAGCAAACATTCGCTCAGATCTGCGGCTGCAGGGCAAACAGCTGGCCGACTGTCGAGTCAGCTCTCATGAGCTGGGACTTCTAAACTAAAACAAAAGTCAGAGGCAATAAATGCATTCATTAGAATCCACTTCCCATAACAACAAAATGTTTCTCTCTCAGTTGGAAGCCTGAACCGATGCTTCTCACCTCATTAAACCTGCTGAATGTGTTCCACAATGACACCAGAACATCTGGGAAAGGCACTTCTCAGCTTCATAGGCAGCAGAAACACGATGCTCCGGCTGCTGCTGCTCAAACATGAGCATGTTTCACATTTTAGCTCAGTGAAACAAGAGCAGTCAGCAGCAAACGGCCACACTTTAAGCTCTGGAGTTTAAAGTCCTCCAGAAATGGTTTGCATTAAACCACATTACATTTGCAAAGCTTTCAGTTGATAAACTCGATCCTTACAGCATTTTTAAGAAGCTTTGAGTAGTTTCTGATTTTCTGCCAAATCCCATAAAATCCCTGCAAAAACAACTGGTAATATCAGGAAACAGAGGATCCAGATGTTCAACATCTGTTGGTTAGAAGCAGGTGTATCACAGTTAAAAGCTCCACTGTGTTCTTCTCTTTCAATGAAGAGTCGGATAGCAGCATTCTCAGACCTCTAAGGAGGGTTTCCCAGAAGTGTTCTGGAACCAGTTGAGTGATGCATGAGGCCTGCTTTATGTTCTGTACTGGTGCATCTCCCGCTTCATGATCAGAGCAACACAGTAATACACATAAGGATGAACCACCACAGCCTCACTTAATGCAGTGAAGCCATCATAGCCACCGGTCATGAGCCAGGCACGAACTGGGGAGAGGCGGGACAGCTCTTTGTGGCCTCGCCTGGGGGTTGACCTGCTAAGTGGTCGCAGAACAGATGGGACCAATAGCTCTGTTCAGGTCATGCTTATTTTTTCAAAATAAAGAATGCAGGTTCTGCGTTTCACTTAGGTCTCTGTCTTGCTAAATTTCCACAGAATGAGCAGCACTAAAAAAAAAAAAAAAAAGCATACTACTCTACTCGCCTCATCCTCTCTGTTTAAATGCTCAACTGTTCTGTTAGGGTTTATTATTTATACATTAGGTGCACTGTTAATTTGTTTGTCAGATTAGACAGAGCAGAAGGCCTTCCTTCACATTGTGGATATCACGGTGTGTGCGGAGGTCATCTAATCAAGACAGCCTTTGTGTCTCTAAGAGTACAAAGGATATGGGCACATCTTGGAGCCGGTCTGATAGGAGAGCTGCTGTATCTGTAACCCTGAGACAGAGAGGCAACCTGCATGGAGTTCAAGACATGGATGGCGTGTCAGTTTCTGATACGGACAGCTAAGCATCCACATGATGCAAGACAGACTCAGAAGGTATAAGAAGCAGGAGATGACGTTGTTCGGGGCTCAAACTTTGCCGGACGCTTGCGGACGTGATTTTTGAGACCACAGCTGTGCATAGCTCGAAGCATTTTTCTCTGTCCTGTAACGACCTGATCTAGAATAAACTCTGTTACTTTTTTACTCCTGTTTTTATAGTCCTTTTTTATATGGTTTTGACGAGTTTGAGTTAAGAGTAGTAAATAACTTGCTCCCAGGAAAAGAACCGTGTGAGGAGGCCCCGGGGCGATACAGCCTTTACTTCCAAGGGGATAAATCCTCCTCACTTTAACAAATTGGTGTTTCCGCCCGTGACCTGGAAGCAAAACAACAGAGCCACCGATGGAAAAAGCTCCACAGCCTGCGGCCGAAACAACTGATAAGGTGAGGAGATTCCTTATTACAAAATATCTCCAGTGTTTTTACTGTTAAAACACTTTGGCTGTGTTGTGATTTTCTGAAGTGAGCTGAAGCTTTTTATGCAAAAGAGGACAGAGAAATCGCTCAGAGTGATTTTAGTTTTTTTGTTTTTGCGGTTTTTGTTTTGTTGTATTTGTTGGGTTTTTTTTACATTGCGAACGTGTACACATAAAAAAAAAAAAAAAAAAAAAAAACACAAAAAGAGAGAGAGAGAAAGTCGTGCGTTCTGCTGTGGGTAGCGGTTGAAAGTCCGACTGAAGGCGACTGCGCAAACGTCTTCAAGAACTATTCTGCTCACTAGGATAAGTTGGTTGGAAAGCCCAACGGTTTCTGCATGCAGAAAGGGACGGTGATTTTATTCCCGGTCTGCCTGCAGACACGAAAGATGCACTTCTGAAAACAGACGCACAGACAACCAGTCACATAGCCGGCTAGAGTTTGCCAGTATACCTCCCATAAGGACATTTACGAAAAACCGAGACGGATGATAAGGCGCGGATCAGGTTGGAACGGACCTTTGAGGTGTTTTTCTCTTTCCTTCTCTTCTCTTATAAAAGGAAAAGAGAGAGACGATAAAATGATATTCCTCATAAAACTAGAAGAGACTGATGCCCGGATTAGGTAACTTGTTTGTCTAATCCTAAAAGTTGGTGGAGTGAACTAGGCGGAACTATATCTAAATCTTTTCTTTTCTCTAAATTTCTTTTCATTTTTTCCTTTCTTTTTTTCCTTTTCACTGACGGACGTATTTCTTTGACGGACGCACTTCCTTAGCAGAAAAGCGGCTCACTGAAAGTTATAGGTAAAAAGTTTAAAGCACCGAGGGATCTCACGTAAGACGTCGAGGTGTAATTTTATACACTGTGTGAACAAAAGGTGTGAAAGATGGATGCATGTGGACTAGAAATTGAATCCAGAGACACCTCGTTAAAAGCGAGTCTGGATAAAGGGAGAAATATGATCATGGCGAGTTATCCATTGAAGGATGCAGAACACCACATTAGAAAATTTGATGAATGGGTTGAAAAAATGAGAGAAGATGGAATGTTTGGGGAATTAGAGGGGCCCCCTCCAAACACTTCACAACGTGGTTTTTATTTGGATACACTAAAAAATAGATTGTCACAAGCTCGTGAAAAAATGGCTGGTGCTGGTGTGTTCGGACGAGACAAACACCAGAAGGAAGAAACAAAACTTTTGGATTTGATTAGACAAACCAAGTTCAATTTTAGTAACTATTTTTCTGACAAGGACCCTGAACAGGAACAGGTGGAGCAAAACGGGGCTCAGGGAGGTGAGCAGGCACTCGACACTTCAGAGGGTAAGAAAAACCTTTCATGAGTACATCTAATATTGCAGAAACAGAGCCTATTATGGACCCCAGTCCACACCAAGGTGTCAGAGAAATCTTTCGTAAGGCTGGTGATGCAATTTTTCCATCAAACCCATGTGTGCAGATGCCTGTTATGGAGTTGCGTGAAGGTCAGATAAATTGTGAAATAAGGCCTACAGAGGAAGAATTGGGACAAGAGGTACGAAAGGAGTTTCAGATGCAAGATTTAATAGAGGAGGCGGTAAATAAAGCATTTCAGCGAATGTCAACAATTGATAGCATGGGCACAGAACATGAAGGGCACAGTCTAGGGGCAGCTGACAGTCTAAGAGGGAGAGATGAGCAGAGGAAGCCACATACGGATAGCAATGAGGAAGATATGATACAAATGGAAAGGAAAGCTTAAAATATAAGAGGTTGATATATTTACAATTTACGATGTCTTGAAATGAACATTTTAAAGGTAAGAAGATCAATTAGTACATTTTCAGTGCTGTAAACCCCCGCCCAACATTGAGCTCCAGAAGGTGGATCACAAAGAGCAGCCCTTCACTTAGAGGCAGGAGAGAAAAGAAAAAGAAGACACAGAGAGACTGAGTGCACACAGGGCCGGTCACAGCAAAGGCAGGGCCCAGGAGTCTAGAAGCAGTTTTTACCTTAAAGACATCTACCAAATTACTACACTAGAATGGTATTGTAATCTGCATTTAGAGTGACTGATTCAGGAGCTTATATTTGAAAATGTTAGACCACACAAGCTAAGTTTGTCAAACTGTAGCAAAGTGAATATAAATTAAACACTGATCACTGAGGATACTCTAAGGTGGATTAAATGGATCTTTACTCAGTCAACTGTTCAAAATAGAGTGGGTTACATCAAATAGATAAATTAGGAAGGTTGAGTTCAGTGGATAAAAAGAAGAGAGGCAGACAGCAGTAGATGAAATGGAGGGTGAGTTTGATAGAGAAGGGGAGAAATGGGCAAAGAAGATCGAAGTGCGGGTTCAGTAAGAATTAGAGAAAGGAAGTCAATGCAGCAATATTAGGGAGGCCGGGATCCCACTATTTGTTTAGTTATGGAGGTAGTTTTTTTTCGAAATTTCCAGCAGCAGTGATAGATATTTTGATTGAGGGCAGCAACTGTCCTTTTATGGTTGATACGGGGGCCAGATACAGCCCCATGAATCTTTATGTGCCCACCTGCCAAAAAACTACACAGGTAATGGGATTTTCAGGAGAAAAACAAAACATACCACTTTTTCAGAACCCCTTAGAGGTGTTCTCATATTTGAAAATTCAAACATGTCATTTTTGGGGGACGCTTAGAATTAAAAATCATTGGGTGTGAAAACTTATTTTGGTGTCTAACGTGAGCAAATAAATCTTAGGTTTCCATAAATGTGCACATATAGTTTAACAAGGATCCTAAAATGAGGCTGAAAAGCACTGGTGCAGAGGTCTTAAGACCGGACTGGTGAAAAGATTATGATTTTTGTTTAAATTGGGAAAAAATCCTCTAAGAAGATAAATCTAAATTGATACTGATGGATTAAACAAACTTTATGTGGCCAATGTCTGTCTGTCTGTCCTAAATGTGGAATGCATGTGAGGTAGAATGTGTGTGGTCAAGTTGGGAATGATTAAGAATATTTTTTGATGTGACATTAACATGATTTGCATTTTTACAGGATTGGGAAGGAGCACTGGGGGCATAACAGAAGGGTAATCGTATCAAACATGTTGCTCAGGGGCCCCAACTAGGAGAGGCCGTGACAAGACCAGAGCAGGTTGCTGTTGTAAGGTGTGAGGTAATTTTTGGGTGTGGAGTGCAGCTGAGATACTGTAGATTAATAGATTATAGATTAGAAAAATAATTAAATATATAAGTAATTATCCAGAAAGAAGCAGAATGGGTGTTTTTACTTTTTGGGAAACAAAAATCTCAGACGAGGGCATTACATGATTTTAATTTAAAGGTGGTTTCATTTTCAATCATTAGAATTGCATTAGAGATTGATTAGTTTCATTTTTCTCTCATTAGGATTTTATTAGAGATTGATTAGGGACAGGATAATTCACACTTCGAGCTGGAACTGGACACAGCATATGGCCAAGATACCCGCAGGAGCTCAGCAGATTAGCGGGGTCAACTTTTATAAACAAGGCTGGAGAGTTAAGAACAATTTCGGTGTGACCTGACCCTGGGTTTTTTCAGCCTTCAGTTTTTATCCATAATTATTTTTATCTGTGTATAATGCCGCTTGGAAACTGCCTAAGCACGAACTGATTAATTTGAATCTCTAATCATTACTAACACTAACACTTTTCACTGTTCATCTGGGCCTTACCTTCTTTGCATGACTTGTTAAATTCTGCTAACTTTACAAATTTCTGTGAATGAAGTGATTAACTATTGACTAATTGATGTACTTTTTGATTGCTTTTTCCTGGTAACAAACCAGAGGGGTCATTTACTTTTTCCCTGCTTGTAGAGAGTGACAGTGCGGCTGTCAGTGAGCAGGCATGATTATTCAGAGGCCCATTTAAGGAGGATCAGGAGATCGTTTTGCTTAAACGTGTTCTTTTTTCTTTTTCAGGCTGTGTTTGTAACAATCCTTAAATGTTAACATTTTTTCTTCCAGGACAGGCTGACAAAAGTCTCATCCTTCATTGTGTTTTTGTTTAAGATGTGCATTAACCCTTATTTTCCCAACAGCTGCAGAAGTTCTGGCATGTGAAATGGACAACTTGGCTGAGAGTGACTAGAGCAAGAGAGAGAGGGGGGTTCAGATAGTTGAAAACTTTTTGATAGGAGATTTGAATAGGTTCGAACTGACTGGACTGACTTGGTTAGTAACTGGACTGGATCGGAACCATGGATTAGGACATTAGAGAGATGGTGTGAGAACGCAGCATGCCAGAGACAGGGTGTAGAGATTGTGGCTGCATGTTTTGTTCCCGGCTGAAGGCCTTTCTGGTGAGCTCTGGGTTTGTTTTAATTCCTCTCTGGTTCTGATATGACCTATGAGGTAGAGATGGATGTGGTGGTTTGAAGCTCACAGACTTTTGTTGGGGTGGAATTGCGCCCCCATTAAGAGCAGTCATGCTGACAGAGGCATTAAATGAATGACACGATGAACCAACAACTATTTGGAGAAGTCGGAGGCACCACTGGGGTTTTTGTTGTCTTACATGTTTGTCGTTGTTTGTGTCTGTATGTTTGTTTGTTTTCTGTTTTCTGTTTGTTTACTAACATCTTAGCCGTTATGAAAAAAAAAAAAAAAAAGACGTGGCACGCATGTTAAATTTTTTTTCCGAATAGTTTTGACTACACTACGGATGGGAATGTTTCAAAATGAACAATGGATCTTTTTTGTTTGGAGAGACATTGGACACTTTCTTTCTTGAGTCGCAGGATGGATTAACCTACAAGGGGCACAGAGACTAACTTTGCTCCTAAACTTCAGAAGGAGGGATGGTTTGCAGCTGCTGAGATGCGAACATTAAGGAAATGACTGGATGCCCACTGCTTCAGATGAGAAAAGAACACTGGCAGTGATGGGTTGATGGAAGGTCATGGGATCATCGGACAAGATGGATGAGAAAAAAGATAAGTGAACTGACACACCAGATTTCTTATTCACAATGAAAAATTATGGGCAACTTATTTTAAACCGGTTTATTAACACAGATCTATGAATAATATTTTTGCTTTACGGGGATCAACAGGTAGATGTAATATCTTTCTAAACGACGCGGCAGTAGTTTGGGGATTATTACTATTATTGCTTTATTTATTTATTTTCTTAAAGAGTAATATCAGAAGCGATGGCAACAACATAGAATATAAATTATAGGAGTAACTTTACCGACAGATTTTAAATGGTCTGCTAAATTTTCCTTATATCATCAGGGGGTGGGATATTCTTACATAGAGGAATAAAAAAGAGGATTTAGAGATGTTTTACTATGTGATACATTAGACTGGTTTTTTTTTGATAAATGGTTTGGTCAGTTGTTAATTAGCATAATATTATTAAAGGGACAACAAGTTGAAACTTTAACTTTTGGGAATGGTAAAGTTGCATCAACCAAATGCAATTTAGGGGAAATTATAACATTTTAGGAGCAAATGTTTAAAGCAAATGATGGTTTCTTTTCAAAATAAGCAATAAAGATGAAGACTTAATGAGTTAATGAGCTTATGGCGTTTCAATATCAGGCCCAGGGACTAAAACTTCACCATTTATTTTTTTTTCTTATTTTATTTGTTTTGATTAATATTATTTGTTTTTTGTTTTTTGTTTGTTTTTTACTATGAACAGAGTTATAGATAGCATTTGAGGGGCTATATACAATTTGGGGGATGGGTAACCATACTTTTATGCATGAAGCAATAAGAACACCTGACTTTACTTCACTACAGCTGCAATCGATACTTTAGAGGGGATGTACACTTAATATGGTAGTTTATTTGAGATAACACATATAAGAGGAGATTATGTTTCCTGCACATTTTTGGATCTGGTCAGGGGTCCAGATATGACAACTATTGACTGGTTCTGGGGATGTTGGAACAGATTTTTCTTTTTTGTTTTTATTTTGTTCTTTGTTCTTTGTTTTTTGTTTTGTTTGTTTTTTCTCATCGGAGCACTGCTTTCTGGAGAATATTTTAAATTGACTATAGCTGGACACTTTGCATAGAGTGGGTGCAGTCGAATTCAACACCTTCAGGAACTGTGTGCTGCTGAGATTTTGGGAATGCAGCAGCGAGTCAGAGTACAATCGTGTGCTCTGAGCAGATGAACAATTCAATATGACATTTCCTCTTGAAGGGAGGAACATCTTTGACGCACTGTTTCCTTCTACCTCTATGTGATACTGCTGATGACACAGGTAAAGACTTATCCTTCAGGGGGTGTGGGGACACATGGCCCCAAGACTCTTATGGTTCAAAGCTGCTGTGGTAACAGAGGGAAACCTGATGGACTTGTCCGAACATCGAACTTTTTGCATGTTGGAGAGGATCACTACTCCAAGAAACACTTTTACTTCCAAACCAGTAGCGGGATGGCTCCTGACCAGTTTCCCACATATAGATCCACTCACATAGACACACACACATACTGTCACGTAACAACACGCCCACACACGGTTAATGACTCGAAGAACACAAGGATCCACATGGGAATGGGGTTTTTCTTTCATGCACTAACATTCACGGATACAAGGTCTGGTGGGGGAGTTTTTAATAGGGGGAATCTGCGCCAAGCTGGGTTTTTTCCTTAGAGATTAAAGAACTTCTAATAATTTTCTGGGGAGGGTGTAGCAGTAAACTAAAATGCAGTTACAAGTTTAGACGAAACTAAAACTTAATATGCTATGATGTAGAAATGGTTTTAAAATTCATTTATTTAATCCATGAATTGAGTGTTACAATGTGTAAAAAAGGGTTAAATATTTTCTAAATATTTACAGGTTCCTTGAATTAGATTATATTAGTTGCAGTGATTTTGAGCTTATATGAACAAAAATGATGAGCTGAAACATCCATAGGATGTTCAGGCTGAATACATACTGGTATAAATAACTTTCAACTGCCAGGCATTGAAAGGTAGGTTATATTAAATGTTTAATGTTTTTGGGGATTTCTTTTTTATTTATTTTTATTTTTGTTTTTTGAATAGACACTGAAATCATCTGCTGAAAAAACACAGAGTCCATGGATAATTAATTTAAATGTTGTCAGTTTTATGGTGATTTAAGGGATAAGGGAAAGTAATTGTGGATAAGAATATCTGGTTGTGACTGCACTTAGATTTTGAGTGAATAAAGAATTGCTCATTGAAGACATTGTTTATCGTGATAAGAACACTGACTGCACTCTCTGTGTGTCGAAGGGTTCCCGGAGGAAAGGATTGATGAACTGTGATGAGAACCACCACATGGATTCAGCATCTATCTGCCATTGGACTGCATGGAGACCAAAGTGGCTGTGGAGGAGGCCATACGAGACTCTGATTGATTAATTAGATTGATGAGTGATAGAGACACTGAAAGAATCCATCATCATTTGTTTTTAACTCGGACCAGGATAATTCTTTATTTTACCTAATTGTGATGTATATGTTTTGATTTATTTTGATTTGGTTTTGATGAAAATCATGGAGACATTTTGCTCCAGACCCACCAAGATCACGTTTTATGCCACTTTTTCTTTGATGTAGAAAGACTCTGAACCTTACAGGTTCTTTGAGTAGCTGGTAATGATAATTATCAGATTCAAAACGGGGTTTTCTTGCTCAAATTGGCTGAGAGTGGGATTTCCCCGGGGTCACCCCGGTTTTTACTACCCTTTAGAGAGGGTAGCGTTTTCCGGTGGAGAACGGCCCGACCTGTCCTGTGACGTCCCCTACTGTGACTGAATGATTAGTAAAGTTGAATAGATGGTTTATCCATGAGGAGCGGTCACATTTAGGAGGCCTCCAGGTGGGAGTGAGAGTAGATGAATTTGGCCTTATTAGATTTATAGGCTTAGGTTATCTAGTCTAAGGTAACTTAAAATAATGTGCGCATAGGAAACTAAAACAGCTTTCCTTTAATTAGTTGACACCCAAATTGTAGTTAAATGCTGAAACTGTGGTCTTGAGTGAGAACATTTGGTCTGTGAAGCTTTGATTGTGATTACTTTTGATTCCTAATTAACGATACTTGACTAATTATAGATGCTCTCTGGGTCACCCGGTCCTTCAAAGATGTGCCGCTTCCTGTGTTTTTTAAGTTACCTGTAAAAACGGTAACTTATCAGGGGGAGTTGTTAGGGTTGATTATTTATATATCAGGTGCACTGTTAATTTGTTTGTCAGATTAGACAGAGCAGAAGGCCTTCCTTCACATTGTGGATATCACGGTGTGTGCGGAGGTCATCTAATCAAGACAGCCTTTGTGTCTCTAAGAGTACAAAGGATATGGGCACATCTTGGAGCCGGTCTGATAGGAGAGCTGCTGTATCTGTAACCCTGAGACAGAGAGGCAACCTGCATGGAGTTCAAGACATGGATGGCGTGTCAGTTTCTGATACGGACAGCTAAGCATCCACATGATGCAAGGCAGACTCAGAAGGTATAAGAAGCAGGAGATGACGTTGTTCGGGGCTCAAACTTTGCCGGACGCTTGCGGACGTGATTTTTGAGACCACAGCTGTGCATAGCTCGAAGCATTTTTCTCTGTCCTGTAACGACCTGATCTAGAATAAACTCTGTTACTTTTTTACTCCTGTTTTTATAGTCCTTTTTTATATGGTTTTTATACGAGTTTGAGTTAAGAGTAGTAAATAACTTGCTCCCAGGAAAAGAACCGTGTGAGGAGGCCCCGGGGCGATACAGCCTTTACTTCCAAGGGGATAAATCCTCCTCACTTTAACAGTTCTTAAATCTAAACTTGTTTAATCTAAACAGATTGAGATTCTAAACTGTCTTACCGATCCTTTTCACCACCATCATCACTGTTTGAAATGTTGGATAATCTCATCCAGGATGGGGTCTTTCTAGGATTAACCTAGCCTACCGCTCTGGTTAGCTTCTGGTCAGGAGCTGAGATGCAACATTTTGATGACAGCGTGCATCCAGGCAGGCGAGCTTCACTCTGCAAATATTAATGAGCTGCATAATTCAGCCTGTTGGAGGAAAAACTTCCAATGACCTGATGGAGAGTGAGGGTAAAAAAAAAGAGTTCATTAAAACATGGCATGAGGAGGTAAAGTGAGTTTTAAATCACTGTTTTTATTTTCAAAGGTAATCAGAAAGTAGCTGACATGCTTGATCTGAGTAGGATGTCTCCTGATCTCCTTAACTGAGAGGTTTCCAGAATGGTAGCGCCTAATGGATGCCAATCCAGCCTCAGATGGACGATACAGTTACAAAGGTTTTCTTTTTCTAAGGGACTGTAATGAGAGAAGCAACCAAGACACCCATTATATTTCAGGATGCTCTGACAGGACAGCTATCAGTCCAGAATTGAACTTAATGCTGTCCTATCAGAATCTCTGAATCTTTATGGCGGAGAAACTGAAAGCCAGAGGAAGTCCTGTTGGCAGTCAGTCATGTAGGCGACCAAGGACACAGGAAAAAAAAGAGACTGTTCTGAATGAACCAATGTTAAACTTTTCAGGGCACATTTAAAATACTATGTGGAGAAAATGGAGACTAAACATCAACCTGAAGTCTTTCAGAAGAAGTAAAATGAGACCTGATGGGAAGATAAAGGAAGCTAAATACAGTGAGACCTTAATGGCTGAGAGGCTGGTTATCGTCCCGCAGCAGTGTGTCACAGTGAGCTTGTGGCAGATATTTTTGATTTATTCCCAATATTGAAGCGTGGTCTGCGCTATGTTATTCCATGCCACAACGCAACAGGGACAATCACGAACTAGCTGTGGGTCTAGATACAGCCGAAGCGGTGAGGAGGTGGAAAAACGCAAGGGGCAACGGGAACATGAGGGCAAAAAAGCGCACCTCGCTCTTCTAGCCGGTCCATCTTCACAAGTCATTTTCCAAAATGGCGGTCATACAAACAAAACAAACAAGTAAGGTAACAAACAGGAA